TGTGTGGAGTGATATCTGTGTGAGTCAGTCCATTATCAGACTTCCGCTGCATACATGCTCATCCTATATTGGTTGATCTTTGGTTCTGCCCCATACTCGTTGAAGTATTCACGAGTATGTAACAGTTTTGGTATCGGAGCAGACCAAACGATGGATCTGCTCACCAGGTAAGTCTGATTTAGGAATAGATTGCTTCTTCGATCTTCCAAATCAGCTTTGTATTACTATCGAGATTCGAAGTTGCAATTTTTTTTTTCAATTCGGTATTCGGACTTTCACTTCGGATATCTGTTTTAATCCGGTATTCTGTTTACTTCGGGTTCCAATTGAGTGTATTCTGGGTAATCCGACATTCTGATTTTAATTCGTGATTAGGTTTAAATCAGTACTCTGTTTAATTCGACATTCTGATTTCAATTCAGTATTCCGTTTTTTATTCGGCATTCTGATTTTAATCCTGTATTTCGTTTTCTAAATCGGCATTTCCGTTTTATTTCAGTATTGGAAATTAGGGTTACGAAAAGTTTCGGTTTCTGATCAATGGAAATTTGACCGTTTTGGAACCGTAAAGCCGGAAATTCTGCGGAAACGCGGAAATTTTTTTTTTCTTTCCCTAAGTTTGAAAATTCCGAAAACGGACTTAGGCCTTTAAAAATCGGATTTTGTAGGTTGAAATTCCCGAAATTTTACGTTTTTCGAAAATGTTTTTTCTTCCTAAATTTCCGAAATTTTTTTGGCAAAACTGTTCGTAATTATTCCCCCAAAATCGCAACTTCCGGGTAGTTCACTATTCAACGGTGAACTCCCGGACTATAGATGATCTCAACAGATACCTAATCTTTACAATTCAAATTTGGCAATTATCATTATTACAATTATTGTTTTATTGATTATTATTAAGAAATATTAATTCATTATTAATCATTAATGAAACTTTGTTGATTACTAATTCGTTATTATTTTCTTATTACGAATTTTTGAGTTGTTTACAGGGAAAGTTTATCTTTTTCTGGTTGATTAGGTGTCTTAAGTCCATCATTGGAACAGGGGCTGTATGAGAATTGCATGATCTGTTCTACCCCTGTACCCACCCTCTCCCTCTCACTGTTCTGCGACCATTCGGACGGGCCAACCTTCAGCAGCAGTACACTGATGCCAGCAGGGCAAGCCACCGAACAGCAGCCATGACGCAGCAGGAGGATCGGAGATCGCCAACAGCAACAGCAACCTGCACTTCGACAGCAGCCACAGACCAGCACTCAGATGGCGAACACGCCAAACAGCGGGACGTCATCCGAGAYGTCGAYATCTAGCAATGCCGAACCATTGCCGGTCTGTCCTGCTYAAGGGCCGAATGAGCCCATTGCGGACTACATTCAGAGAGTGCAGACCTATACGGCCGCACTAACCCTTGCCAAGGAACGGCAAGATGCTGCCGAAGCAGACAAACAATGGCTAGCAGCAGAAGCTGCAGCCCGCGCACAGCAACAAGCTGAGGCGGCGCAGTTGGCGACCGACCAGCTCAACGCCGACAGTGTCGAGCTTCTGATCTCTCAACAAGATCAGTGGACAGCGGTACTCAACGGGATGCGTTATGTACCCATAGCAGGCGCCGAGCCGACGACAGTACAACAGGAGAGACAAAACCTGGCCGATATTCTACTCAACACAATGCGTGCCGTCATCTGAAAAAGCACAATGGGGGAACCTCATTCCCGATCTACACAGCAGCTACAGAACGATCTCACCCATAACGTGAAGACGCTGGCAGCAGCCGTTAAGGTCGCGGACTCCCAGCTGAAACAGATGGACGCCCGCATTGCTGCTCTGGAGGCAAGGCCTTCCCAAGCAGCGCCAGGCTGCATGACAGACACGAAGAAGCAGCTCAACGGGCGCATCGACCATGTCGTCAATCTCATCGGCGACCTAGGTGCTTTCACTGGTCCAGACACGATCAGCAGCACGGTGGCCGCCATCAAGACGGACATCACCAAGCTGCAGACAAGACCGGGCGCTGCTACTAAGAACTACAAGATGCGGCACTTCAACATCAGCAAGTTCGACGACTACAACAAGACAGACGCCTTGACATGGTGGCAAGGTTTCCTCACGGAAGCATCTTGCCGCACTGTCCTGGCTGAAGACATGTTGAAGGCGCTCTACCTACAACTGATTGGAGGAGCACAGGCATGGATGAACCATCTGGCGGCAACCAAGCAATGCACCATCGCCGAACTCCACACGCACATTACGTGGAAGGAGTTCGAGCAACTATGGTTCACTCGGTTCATGGTCCGCAACGTCGTGAAGGCGGCCATGAACGAGGTGTATACCAGCTCACAAGGAAGCATGCCAACTCGAGACTGGCCAAGTAAGTGGCAGAAGATAGTAACCACGCCAGGCTTCGATTTGAGCTTTCCAAACCAACGATCCGAGTTTTTCTCGCGATCGTGCGTAGGATTGCGGTCGGCACTCGGCAACGAGTACGACTATGCCTCGTTCCAGGCTATTATGGATCGCGCGAACCTGGTTATCCAAACGGACGACAAGGCCGCTAACGAGAAGCAGTCCCAGCCGCATTATGTGGCTAAGCAGGGCTATCAACGACCGACACATAACAATGCCGTGATTTCTGAAGAAACAGTCGATCTCCACGCTGCAGCAGCATCCTCGGGATATGGAGGAGTTCTTGCAGCGCTCCCGCCGAAGCGTCCCAAGAGAGTTCGAAAGAACAAGGCAACAGAAGCGACGACATCAGCAGGAATTGGGCAGCAACCATGGACGACATACAAGATAACCAAGGAAGTATATGACCTTCGTCAACGGTACGGATATTGCCGTTGGTGCAATGGTGTCACTCGACCGCACAATGCCCCAACAAGGGCAAGGCACGTGTACCCCGTCCAGCAAACTCGGGAAACTGAGTTGCGCAAGGAGAGAGGCGACGTCTCTCCTCACTCCGCCGGAACCGGTTGCCTTGCTAGCAATCGATGTCACTACCGGGGAGCATGCGTTAGTCATTGATTCTCGTGCTACGTACGAGGATTATGCCGCCCAGCTGGTACCACCACTAGACCAGTCGAGCCACGTGCACTTAGATTGCGTATGCGCAGCCTGTACACCGTCGGCAAGTGATCCGGTCAGCTCACCACTGATTTCCGAGGACTCGACGGCGTGGTCAAGACTTGAGGAGCTTGACCCGCTCACGAGAGAG